ATCAGGTGCCCTGTTCTCTGGGTAGAGAACCCCCGGCAGAACTTCTTCATCCCCTGGTGTTGTACCTGTGTCCTGTGGCACGATGACACCGGTTATACACTCCTCCTCATGTGTCCTCTCTGTTTGCTGCACTGGCAGATCCTGCTCCTGTCTGCGGAACAGTTGATCCACATGACGCCTGACCAACTGTTTCCCAACAACACTGTATGGGAGAGTGGTCCTGTGATCTCCACTATCTGTCCGGGTATCCATTTAGGTCTCCATCTGTAGTTTCGGGTGTAGACTGAGTCTCCTGCCACAAAGTTACGTGTTTTTGCATGTTTGTCATGGTAAGCTTTTTGACTGGCTTGTTTTGACTCCACCCTTTTTTTAAATCTGGGTGTATGAGATCAAGTGTACACCTCAACTTCCTGCCCATCATCCTCTCAGCATGCGATAGTCCTGTTGTTGACTGTGGAGTGATGCGATAGCTAAACAAAGCCCTACGCTGGTCATCTTGCTGCCAGTTGTCTCACCGCAGTAGAGTTTTATCCTCGTCGCCATATGTAGTATCTTGAGATTCCCTTTATCACAGGCAGAGACACTGTCTTCAGTTTAGCTGACTTTATTGCCAATAACATCATAGCAACATAACATGACCAACACATAGGGACACCGTCTACTCAGGAGTGGGGTCCGCCTTCTCTGACTCTACTCGATGTAATCTTGTTATATCAATAGCACTGGTGCCCCCTATTGGAACTGAACTGTAATAACCTACAGCGGCCACAAGATAACAGGCTGCTAGGGCTCAAAATGATAGTCAGCGTAGGTGTCGATTCTTGTTTGCTTACTGTTTTCTTCTTCTCTTAATAGGCGGATTTGCTTCCCCTGGTAACCCCCGTGTTTCATGTCATACCACTATGAACTGTGGGCAATTCCCTCAGCCAAAGTCTGCAGAAATGCGGACTTACGAGAAGGGTCTATAAAGGGCTCATAATGTCCACGAGAGAGCCCTCGCGCACTTGATGATTTGACAGTGTGACAGCCCTAAACCCTCACGGACTTCCCGGGAACGCGCCTCAAAGTCTGTGAGGGTGGACAGTGGGATTGGGCCTATCTTTACCGTCACCAGTGTGTTAAGTCTTTCTGTTCCCCTCTGTCTGTGCGAGCTTGTTGATGTCTTTTGACTGTGCTCCAGCCATTTCCCCCGTGTTCTCCCAGCTTGGGGGGGTGGTGATGATGGCACATAGATAAGATTCTTGCCTTTGGTGTGGGAGACCTGGGTTCAATTCCCACTATGAGACATCCACCATTGTGTCCCTGAGCAAGACACTTAACCCCTAGTTGCTCCAGAGGCGTGCGACCTCTGAGATGTATAACAATTGTAAGTCGCTTTGGATAAAAGTGTCAGCTAAATGAGTAAATGTAAACTTGCTCTCACTCCCAAGTGGTCACATATGGACACTTGCAAGATCTCCTGGCATCAATTTTTATCGCATTGGAAAGCCCTTTAGAATCATTGTGAAACGCTAAAAGAAGGCCTAGTATAAATAACAGAAAGGTCAGAGTATGGAGGTGGTTGGGGTGGATGGTCAGACACTTGACTTCACCAAGAGACCAGTGTTCATTATGCTATGTACATAAGTAATGTTACTTAACTTAAGTAATTAACTTCTTCTCATTCTTTTGACCTCATTTGGCAGTAGCTCAGTCTGTAAGGATTAGGCTAGGAACTGGAAGGTCGCCGGTTTGAATCCAGCTCAGACCAGAGTTGTGGACCATGGACTAGTAGCTGGAGAGGTGCCAGATTTGTTCTCTTGTTGGAGTGCTTACCTGTTTTTTAATCGCTGCTGGCCTTATTACCTTTTTTACCCAGTAGACATTATTAAATCACTGAACTGAACCTGCTCTGCCTCCATTGTCTGCATTTGGGCCCAATCTCCTGTGTTCCTGCTAATCTATTAGCAGTCAGTGTGACTGTTTTTGACTGTGGCTGCTTTGACATATAGTATGTTAGTGTTCAAGTGTACTGTCAGCTGAAGTTTCGTCTGGAATTGTAGCCTACTCAATGAGACGAGCGCACTGATCTTCATCAGAGGAAGAAAATCGAAACTGAACCCTTGAACTGAACACTTGTAATCAGACAGCAATATCACCACAATCCCACACAAATGTTGACTTCAGCACCTCTAATAAAGTGCAGCTCATAGCCGTTTTAGAGGGAATGAACCATCCTGGAGACAGTAAAGTAACAAAGTGTCAGTGTCGCGGTCAGGTGTGATATTCTCTCACTACTGTGCGGCGACTGTTAACCGTTTGTGTTAATACTATGGGGGAATTTATGTTTCAATATTATTTGTGTGGACAGATGAGCGATCTGTGAGTAAATGTGTAATCTGTAAATATAAAACACTTTGCACAAACACAAAATGAAGATTTGTAAACTCAGTTCTTCAAACACGAGTTTTGAGACAAACTTTCCGCCGATGGAAAGAAAATACAATGAGTAAGAAATAGTATAATTATATAACAATGTATTAAGCTATGAGCACAGGGAAAGTCCGCTAGCCACTAGGCTAATTTCAGTAGTTTGAAAATGCCACAGGCTCTAGCTAATGATGGTGTTTAGCAAAAAGCAAACCAAGACTATGAGCTGAATGTTTGTTAAAGGTTGGTGTGAGCTATGTTTGATGCATGTTAGTGGACTGTACTGAATTTGCATTTAACTATATACTTCGTACTCCTAGTATGGCCAAAAGCCGAGTGGACATCAGTGGTAGTTCCTGTCCTGTGGTCAACACCAGCATCAAAAAGTGGACAAAAAGAAGAAGAACAAAATCGGGGAGCACACAGACAGGAAGCAAAACAAGATAACGACACCAGGGGCAGAACAACATTACTCCATCTTCCTTTAGGAGCATTCTATCATTCTTTCAAATTTTATTCTGTGGCTGCTCTCTCACCTGTTGCACAGTGTTTATGAGGGTTTCTATTCATAGAAGGGATTTGACAAAGATCTGACAGCAGCTCTAGTTTTATTGAGGGACAACTGAATGTTCCTGAATTTCCAATCTGGAAGCAAAACCACAGGAAACCATAATCTATGTGCCGGACACCTTGAGCTGCTGCGGCTTCATCAGAACAGCCTGAAATGAATAAAGTTAGCCTTGATGTTCAACACCATGGTTGTTGAAGAATGACCACTAAGCAATGACATGTGTGTGTATCACTTAATGAAATTAAATCACTTTCACACCCTTAAGTTACCATAAATGAAGTAACCCTGAGTGTGCTTGAGTAAATACAATCCTCTTCACTTTATATATGCTTCCTTTAGGCAATATTATCAGGAAACATTCCATAAGCTTTCATTGTTATGCAGATGATACTCAGTTATATCTATCGATCAAGCCAGATGAAACTCATCAGTTAGCTAAACTTCAAATGTGCCTTCAGGATGTTAAAACCTGGATGACCTGTAATTTTCTAATGTTAAACTCAGATAAAACTGAAGTTATTGCTCTGGGGCCTAAGCACCTCCGTGACGCATTATCTAAAGATATAGTTTCCCTGGATGGCATCGCCCTGGCCTCCAGCACCACTGTGAGGAATCTTGGAGTTATCTTTGATCAGGACATGTCGTTTAAGTCTCACATTAAGCAAATTTCAAGGACCGCCTTTTTTCACCTACGTAATATTGCGAAAATCAGGAACATCCTGTCTAAAAATGATGCAGAAAAACTAGTCCATGCATTTGTTACTTCTAGGCTGGATTACTGCAATTCCTTATTATCAGGCTGCTCGAAAAAGTCCATTAAGACTCTTTAGCTGATCCAGAATGCTGCAGCACGTGTTCTGACAGGAACCAGGAAAAGAGATCACATTTCTCCTGTTTTAGCTTCTTTGCATTGGCTTCCAGTAAAATCCAGAATAGAATTTAAAATCATTCTTCTTACCTACAAAGCTCTTAATAGTCAGGCACCATCTTATCTTAAAGAGCTCATAGTACCTTACTACCCCACCAGAGCACTGCGCTCCCAGAATGCAGGTTTACTTGTGGTTCCTAGAGTCTCTAGGACTAGGAGCCAGAGCGTTCAGCTATCAAACTCCTCTCCTGTGGAACCAGGTTCCAGTTTGGGTTCAGGAGGCAGACACCATCTCCACATTTAAGAGTAGGCTTAAGACTTTCCTCTTTGATAAAGCTTATAGTTAGGGCTGGCTCAGGTGAGTCCTGAATCATCCCTTAGTTATGCTGCTATAGGCCTAGACTGCCGGGGGATTTCCCATGATGCACTGAGCTCCTCTCTCCTCTACTTTCTCTCCCTCTGTATGCAACCTCATCCCATTATTGCATGTTACTAACACAACTTCTCCCCTTTCTGGTAGTCTTGTGCTTTCTCATCCCTCTCCTTTCTCCTCCTGTCACTTCCTGCAGGTGTTTCTGGCTCTGGAGCTGTGGAGTCTGGATCTGTGGCTGCGGGTCACCTGCTGCCCCCGTGTTCCTGCTCGACACCCTCTGCTGCAACGACTATTGTTGCTAGTCTTATTGTTATTATTGTTATTATAATCATTAACATTACGATGGTTACCATTAACACTATTATAAATATCTGTACCATTTTTCATTCAGTCTATAGCAACATCACCTTCACTGTGTGTACCTCTGTGTGTATATTGTGTAGGCTGCCTCCCTCCCTCTCTCTCTCTCTCTCTCTCTCTCTCTCTCTCTCTCTCTCTCTCCCCCTTCACCCCAACCGGTCGAGGCAGATGGCCGCCCACCCTGAGCCATGTTTCTGCTCGAGGTTTCTGCCTCTTAAAAGGAAGTTTTTCCTTGCCTCTGTCTCCTAGTGCTTGCTCTTGGTGGGAACTGTTGGGCTTCTGTAAATATCATCACAGAGTATGGTCTAGACCTGCTCTTTTATGAAAAGCGCTGTGAGATAACTGTTGTTGTGATTTGGCGCTATATAAATAAAATTGAATTGAATTGAATTAAATAACAGTCCAGTGGCTGCACCTACCTTATATCCCCCACATGTAAGTCCTGCATTTCGTTTAGCAAGAACACACTTCATCCTCAAGAAGAAGGAGCGCTCTATTTCATACTCTGTCACACAAACACACATAACAGAGGCATTACTGTCATAGTTGTTTTTTTTACAGTGCTGTGTTCTGCAGTGACACTTCTTACTCCTAGGATTATTTCAAATTTACCCTTTTTGTTTCTACAGCCCAGTATAATCACAAACACAGACCAAAAAGATCTGTTACGACTTACAATGTAATATCAGCATAATGAACATTTCCACAGCATCAACTCCATTATTACAATAAGAAAGTTATGTCATATGTGCCACTCTGCTCTGTGCTTATCTTTTTAACAGAAATAAAACTAGCTAAACCTAAACTTACTAGCTTTTTTTTAGATATTCTTACCACATCTCACAGTCTTCAGAGAGCAGTATTGAGTATGATATGTTGTTGTATCGATGGAATTAGCACTTGGAAATGTACATCATGCTGAATACGTCAAGACAACAGGGACACTTAGGGACACAGGAGATTTATTTTGTATTAACTGGGGAACATGTGAAATAAGCAAAGCCTTTCAAAGGTCTTCCAAATAATTCATAATAATAATAAATAAGGTCTTCTCTATTCCATTGATAAATAAAGCCCCCGGACGCTATTTGGGAATTTACAGCACATGTGACATACATGGAGATTAAGGTGTTTAAGTACACAGCACATTGAAAAGAGTTAAATTTTTGCTGTTAGTGAAATTTGAGTGACAGCAGAGTTAATTATACCCTGGATAGAGTCAAATCCATTATATTTGACTCTCAGGTGAAAAGTAAAATTGGTGACTGCATGCTGTTAAACTAGGGGCCGTGCTTTTTTACCTGGGTCTAAACTTTAACACTGTTTGACATAAGTAGTATCTGTTAGTGTTATATTTTATATCGATATTGCTCTTCTGGCACCTGGTCGTTTTGCAATGGTGAGCCACCATAACTTAAACTTATGTCACCTCACTATTACTAGCCAGCCTAACACCTATTTAACAAACTAGCGGTTAGCATGCTTACCCAATCTGTTCATTCTGTTACATTTTTTAAATGTAATGTAATCAAATTCTTTGAGGTGCAAGTGTTAAAATAATTTTAATTTTAAAACACCAAACATGATCATCTTTACTTTGCAAATTCCACAAAAGACAAAAAAATACTGTAAATTAGTAGTGTACCAACACTCCACAAAGAGTTAAATCAACACTTTTTAGTATGGACCCATTTAGACACTTTTTAAAAGTAAACTAGTGTTAATTTGCGTATGCTGATTTTACTGTGTACCTGGAGAGAAGTGATGGCGTGGGGGTTGGCAAAGACCCAGCACTGCTGTCATCTCATCATGGTCCGATGGGTGGATATACTCAAATATACTGTTTCCTGTCAGCTCTACCTGCAGCACACACATTTCCAGCATGTGCTCATAAATGTGCTGACTTATGTAGTGATCAGCTGCACCACAACTAACAAATCACAATGCAAGACAAAACATTGAAATGTACTGAATCATGCAGAAATGATTACCATACCATCTAAAATGGTCTGTTTGACTCATATATCAAACATAAACATGAACAGCAAACTTAAGGTTGTATGAGGGTCTTACCTGGGACAGGCCAAGGTGGACTGATGCAGTTTCTGAGATGTACATGATTTTGCCATCAGAGGCAACAACAAACACAAAGCCGTCCAGAGTCTGAGGGAGCAGTAACAAAATAGTTACTCTTAAACAAGTTAGTACTGTTAGTGATATTCATTTTTACAATGTTATATATGTGGGGTGAAAATAACAAATATTAAATGATAAAAATTGAGGTGGTGAAAATGGATGTGAGTTGAAAAATAAAGGGGTAGAAATGGATGTGAAATGAAAAACAGAGTGATAAATATTCAAGTGGTTTTATTAATTTAAAGTCGATTTGATTAAAACAGTAGTGATGAACATTTTTTTATAATTTTTATTTTTCAATCATCATTCACAAACCAAAATTGGCATTTATCATTTAAAGAAGTTAGCTTCAAGGGTAGAAGTAACAAATAATAAAATAATAAAATGGAGGTGATGAAAATGCATGTGAATTGAAATACAAGGTGAATTGAAATATAGAGTAATAAATTATCAACTAATGTGATAAACTTGATTTTCCATTCACCCTACTGTCATTTATCATTTACCGCATGTCATTTTTATTACAAACTGATCGAGTTGACCGTAGCGGAGGAATATGCCGGGCTCTGCTGTTAATTGTACAGACTGCCCAAGAAAGCCAGTGCTCCAGTTTTCATTCATTTAAGGGTTAGCAATAATTAGCAGGTATCGTTGTCAGCATAAATAGCATATTAGCTTATCTCGTTAAGCAAATTAGCATAGCTTCGAGTGATCCTAATCTGTGCTAACGATGCTAAGTAAATGGGATGGTATGCTGACCATTTTTTAAAGAGTCATGCATAGAAGGCAAAACCTATTAGATACTGCCTGTCCGCCGAGCATCGTCTGCACCTTCAAGTACTCTTTAAAAACAATATAATCTGGGGGCGCTGTCGAGCAGGCAATGGAGTAGGTCAGGTTTGGTTTGAGCTCTCGTTGAACTTTTGTGTTATTTTGTGTTAATAAGTGCCTTTCGTTTTGAAATACTAGCAAACTTTCTTCGAATATATTCCCTAAGCTAAGAGTGTGTATAAGGGTAGATGGCGGCGAATTAGCGTAAATATAAATTCACCGAGTCGACCAAATCTAGGCCCGACGCCGCCTCGTCAACGAGTTCCACCGTCTCCCCGTGCCCGAAGTCTTTGCCCTTGCCATCCAGCCAAGCTATGGATGTTGAAAACCTGAAGGGTGATATCCTGCTTTCACTAAAAGCGGACATCTTCGGTCTCGAAGCTACTGAGAGAAGTGCTACAATTGGATAGAGACGTGGTTGTGGACCGCTCTCACAGAAGTCTGGGTCCCGAGAGGAAGGATGGGAAACTCTTTCTTTCCTGATTATACAACGAGTGTTGCTAAGGCCAGGGTGGCATTCAATGAGGTCAGGAAGCTGCTCCGTAACCAGCAGGGAGTCCGGTATGGTATCCTGTTTCCAGCTTGTCTCTGCATCACGTTCAACGGAGAGGAAAAGGAGTCCACATGCAGGCAAAGCGATGAGCTACGTCAAGAAGAATGTCATCTCTACAGCAGAGGGTTGAGTGAGTAATTTGGCCCTGGCTAAGTTATCATCCCTGGGCTACAACCTTTTTATATGCTGGACAGTCTACGGCTACGACGGGACAATACTTGATTGAACAGACTTTTACCGTAGGCTAATAGAGGACTGAACACTGCCATTTTATATTTTGTTATATTTGGTCTAATGGGAGGAGTCCTCCATGCCTTAATTTTATTTTCTTCAATTATATATAGGCCTAATACATTGTTGTCTTTATAAGATTATAAGTCACAGTTTTGGTCCCAACTTGGGTTTACCTGATCGTTGTGCTTCATTAATTCCTTATTTGGGCTAATGGGTGAAATTTTTCGGGCCCTATTTCTTATGCAGCAGTTTTTTTTTGTTTTGTCGTTGTTGTGTTTGTTTTTTTGTTTTCTCTTCTCTTGCAAGTGATTCTTGTTTTATCCTGTTCCATAGTCTTGGTTCTTGCGCAGCTGCTACTTGTTTTCTCTAAAATTCAAAGGGGGAAAAGAGAAAGGAAAGGGATAATAATACAATAATAATTATTAAAAGAATGAGGTGTGTGTGTGTGTGTGTGTATATATATGTATATGTATGTGTGCATGTATGTATGTATATATGTATGTGCGTAAATGTATATGTATGTGTGTGTATATATGTGTGTGTGTGTGTGTATGTATGTATATGTACGCATGCAAGTGTATGTATATGTGGGTGTATAATACCACACTGGGATAGGATGCGCTTTTTGGAAGTAATATTCACGTCCGGGGTTCAGGAGACACATTTACGGACAACGGACCATTCTCTATTGGGAAGGGAGTGGTCAGGACAGATATTTCATTCCAATTTCCATTCGAAGGCTAGGGGGGCGGCTATATTAATCGATAAAAATACACCGTTTACAATGACAAGTGTAGAGGCTGATTCAGCTGGGCACTATGTAATCGTTGTTGGGCAAAATACGTTTCCAGTCATCTTGGCCAATGTTTATTGGGACAATTCAGTGTTCTTCACCAGTGTTTTCTTTCGCTTACCAAATACGACATCATGCTAAATCCAGCATTTTCTTGAATCGTATGGAGTAGTGAATCCTGCCACTAGAAGTTACTCCTTTTTCTCCCCAGTTCATAACACATACTCCCGCATAGACTGTTTTCTTTTGGACAAAAGACTACTTCCCCTTATTACCGGATGTGATTATGGACCCATAGTTATTTCAGATCACTGCCCCTTAACTATGAGAATGCACATCCCAGATACACGATTCAATCCATCGCCCTTGGAGGCTCAACCCTCTGCTTCTGTCAGATGACGCTTTTACTAGTTTTATTGCATCTGAAATTTCATTGTTTTTAGACATTAATCAAACGCCTGGAATGTCTTCTCTGACTATTTGGGAGTCATTGAAGGTGTATTTACGAGGTCAGGTCATTTCATATTGTGCTAATCAGAAGAAAGTAACCACTGCCCGACTTAAAGAATTGCCAGATGAGATTCTCGACCTAGATAGGTTACAGAGCCATCAACCTTCGTCAGACTCTAGGAGAAGGCGTATGTCATTACAGACGGAGTTTGATCTCTTATCAACGAGACAGGCTGAGTATCTTATCTCCAAATTACGATATGGGTCCTATGAACACAGGGATTGGTTCTATGCAAAGTGGCAAATCCCCAGGACCAGATGGTTATCCAACAGATTTTTATAAAACCTTTTCTGTACAGCTCTCCCCTTTGCTACTGTTGGTCTTCAAGGAATTGTTCTCATTGAAGGCCCTACCATCTACTATGCATGAAGCAGTTATCTCCTTACTCCTTAAGAAAGATAAGAGCCCTCTTGAATGCAGCTCATACCGTCCAATTTCTTTAAAAAATACGGATGTTAAAATTCTTGCAAAAGTTTTGGCACGTCGTCTGGAGGGGGTTCTTCCATCCATCATATCACCAGACCAAATGGGTTTTATTAGGAATTGGTACTCCTTCTTTAACATCAGACGCCTTTTAAATATACTCTATAGCCCTTCTCCACCTGGTACTCCGGAAGTGGTGCTCTCACTCGATGCAGAAAAGGCATTTGACCAGGTCGAGTGGGGCTATCTTTTTAGCGTGCTGGAGAGGTTTGGATTTGGTCCCAGATTCATATCATGGGTTAAACTCTTATATACATCTCCGAGAACTGCTGTACGTACCAATAATAATCTTTCCATCTACTTTGAGCTCCAACATGGTACGAGGCAGGGATGCCCTTTGTCGCCGCTGCTGTGTGGAACCACTTGCTTTGGCACTAAGAAAAGAATGCTGATATTAGGGGGATCTGGCGTGCAGGGATAGAGCATAAAGTTTCACTTTATGCGGATGATATGCTGTTATTCATTTCACAGCCCCTTTTGAGCCTGTCTGCGTTAATGGCCCTACTTGAAGATTTTGGCAAAATATCGGGCCACAAAGTCAATATCCAGAAAAGTGAGCTGATATTAAGAGGTGGGACCCCCTGCTTCTCTCTCTGGGGGGCAGAATCAATACTATAAAGATGAATGTGCTGCCTAAATTTTTATGTTTTCCAGTGTCTCCCAGTGTTTCTCACAAAATCCTTTTTTTCAAAACTAAATAATCTGATATCGGCCTTCATCTGGAACAAAAAGCCGCCACGGATAAAAAGACATATATTACAGAGACTTCGTGCAAAGGAAGGGATGGCACTCCCAAACTTCATGTACATTATTGGGCGGCTAATATACGATTGCTGCTGTACTGGATGAGGGATGGTGCAACAGCCCCTGGATGGACAATTATGGAGGGGGAGTCCATTGGGTCCATCTCTCTGGCTGCCCCACTATGCGCTAAGTTACCATTCACACGTCCCTTGTCTAGCTATACCTCTAATCCTGTTGTTATACACTCAATAAAAATCTGGAATCAGTTTAGAAGATCTTTCTCTCTTGGGGACCTGTCACTTGCCGGGCCAATTGCAAATAATCACCTGTTTATCCCATCATTGACAGATAAGACATTCAATATTTGGTCCGGAAAGGGGGTTGTCTTATTGTCTGATCTCTATGGTGAGGGTGTTTTTGTGTCATTCGAGCAGCTGATACAGAAGTATGACATTCCCAGGTCACATTTTTATCAATATTTGCAGCTTAGAAACTTTGTAGCCTCAAATTCAGACACTTTTCCATTGTCCCCTTCTGAGTCTTTGTTGGACTTAATTTTTAAATGTAAGCTGGCCAGGAAGCAGACAATTTGAGTTATTTATAATTTACTTAGCATGCATGATTTGACGCCCTTAGATCTCCTTAAGAACAAATCGGAGACAGACCTAGGAGAATCAATTTCAGATGATAATTGGCACAAAGTAATCCAAAGAATCTTTCCTCCTCTATATGTCTCACAGTTGTCCAATTTAAAAATGTTCATCGTCTGCTTTGGTCCAAAGTTTGACTTTCTAAGATCAATTCCAACATAGACCAAACGTGTGATCGACGCAAACAGGCTCCTGCCACTCTATTGCACATGTTTTGGACATGCCCAA